CTCCCTGCCTGTTCTCTTGTATCAGCAAGAACAATAAACTACAAAGTTGTGAATCCCAGTTTTGCCTTCACTATTTGTTTGTCCGTAGGTAAGTTATATACTTTTCTATATTTTAGTTTTATTATCCTTAAAACAGTAACTATACTTTTGACAAGATTGCTCAAAGAGTAATATGTGATATTTTATGTGAAACATGTTGGAATAGGGTTGGACTTGTATGGGCTTCCCAGGTGGCGCTAGTGCAAAGAACTTTCCTGCCAATGCAGGAGAGGTAAGAGAAGCTGGTTCGCTCCCTGGGTCAGGAAGATCCCTGGGAGGAGGGTATGGCAGCCCACTCCAGTATTCTTGCCTGGAGAATCCCATGGACAGAGGAGCCCGGTGGGCTATAGTTCACAGGGTCATAAAGAGTCAGACTGGACTGAAGCAAAAATTAGCATGCGTGCACACGTGCACAGGACTTATATAAATAGCTATTTCCCCCCTCTGAAACCTTTTATTAAGCTTCTAACAAACAAGAGAGATTAATGGTAGGTGGGGAATAGTCCTGAGGATTTGCGTTGGCAGTTCCTTCATGATACGATCAATTAAGATGCTGTTTTTTGAAGAAGCATGTACTTCTGTCCCTGTGTGCCTTATCTCACCCAGAGTGGGACTCCCTCTCTACCTGTCCGCATGCCTACGGATCTTCAGAGTTTCTTCCCTCCTTAGTCGCAGGTGGGATGGGGAGTCTAACAAGAGATATTTTCTAGTACAATGCCTCTCTACTAGATGCCACTTGTGTGCCAATACATTCCAACTTTTATAACAGTGCTTTCTACAAAAGAAGGAGCAAGAATGTCATGGTCTTGCTAATAGAACTGACTGTGTGCCTTTAGAAATATCTTGCAAAGTGTCTTGCCTACATTTTTCCTCATTGTCTTGTCTTCATTTCCTTAAAACATAATAAGCATTCAACAAATACATGCTAAGATAATAAATAAGGAAGTTAGCTAGGGGTTGAAGAAGGACTTGGCCAGTTAGAGATTGGAGAGGGGAGGGGGCAATGATAGTGAGGAGGATGAGGGGAGACAGTACAAAGTAACCTCAAGAACCTAAAACTTGAATTAGTAGGAAGGGTGCATGAGAATCCTTGGAATATTCACAGATTTATAGTCATCTAAGTAGAGTACTTGAGGAATACTTTGGTCTTGGTACTATTTCAGGAGTCCAGGCAGAAGTGAAATGACTAAGTGAGCAAATTTTGACACAGAATGTTGGAATGCATTATGTGTGGAAGATGCGAAATGGAAATAGATTTACACATGAAGTAATAAACTGACTATAAAAGTAGAAGAATGAGTCATTTCAGGTGACTTGGAGGTCTCATTGATGTGTTGAGTCTGGATATGGTCACATCCATAATAAAGAGGACCAGTTGTATATTTTAGATGCCTAGTGAGATGGGAAAGTGCATTGGAGGAGGTACTTAGATCTCTCTGCCACCTTTTCCTTTCTGGAGGGTGAAGGGGTATCTCCTCCAGAAAAAATAGCAGGCAAAATCCTTGAGAGTTCAGAGGTCTGGCAATAATGACCTTCTCTGACCCACACTTTCATAGGCAGATGTTAAAACGGGGGTCCAGAACAACCCCACACACTCACCACAACCTTAGCATCATAATATGCCTTGGAGATCATCAGGCTTAACTCCCACTTGTCTTTTCTTGCTTTTTATAGCGTCTTTACAAGAAGCCTGGGGCTTCCAGGGTTATTCTGTATCACTTCTCATCTCTATATTGCTGTGTACATCTCCAAATCCCAAACATTTCCACTGTTCCCCTTGGAACTCAGTCTGGATACTAGGTATCCAGACGTATAACTATCCTTAACCCACAGTCTGACTCTGAGTAAGTATGTTTGTTTAGATTTCATCATCTGAAAAATTATGTTGTTGCACTAAGTTGGTGGTTCTCATCCTGGGGTTGAGGGGCTCATAAGCCTTCAGTGGGCTTCAGGTGCTATGTGCATCTCTTATAGTGTATGCAAGATTTCAAGGCTATGTGCCCAAGTGTACATTTTTTTCCACATACCAAGATCTGTGACCCTGAAATGGCGTAGAAGTCCTTGAAGTTCCTTACAGTCCTAACTTCATGTGATTCTGAGTTTTGAAGGTGGATGGCAGAAGACAGGCTGATGTTGCCCTGCACAACTAGGAGGCTGTCTCAGTCCTGCCACATCCTGAGTTATTCACCCCTCTTTTCTCACTTTGGTTTATATCGCTTGTAAAATGAAGGCACTGGACTAGATTATTCAAACAGTATCTTCCAATTGAATGAATATATATAATCCAAACAAACCAGGCCAACACAAAGAAACAAAACCTGGTAGTAAGCTTGGAAATTAAGTGATCCCTGCTGAGTCCTCAAGAGTCAAAATCCCAGACATGCTAATATTCTAAGAGCATTTTGAGAAGGAAGATGGAGAAGTGGTTCCTTCATTCAATTCACACTGAGGGACTCAGCTACCTTCTCAAAGATGGGAGATCAGGTCTTCAGGATGACTGGGAATGACTTTCTCCAGAGAGACTTGGGATCTGATATCTTAAAGTTTAACTTCATAAATCCTGACATAAATTATGGAAAAGATATTACAGTGTTGGAGAATTTATTTTGAAGGTTTAAATGGGTGTGTATAGGCTAAAGTTCCCCTGTGAGTCCGCTTTTCTCATTCAAATCCAGATAACGTTTTATTTAGAAAATGAATTTGTCACAACTTGCATAATTTTGATTTGTTTCACTTTTCTCACAGCTCTCTCCTCCAGCCCCTCTTGCCCTTTGTTATTTTTGTCTTTATGCTTGTGTCCCATTTGCTCTGGAAAAGAAATTCAGGACCAGGTTGGAAAAGAAATTTACAACTAGGTTCTAAGAACACACATAGCACAGATGCCACCTCTCCTTCCCCAGAAACAATGTGGTCTTGGGGACAACAAGGTGGAAGTGGGAGACAGCCCAGGAATCCCTTATTCTTTCACTCAGCACCTACTGCATGCCAGAGCCTAAGCTTATCACAGTGAGAGGAGGCACACTCCCTCCTCTGCATTCTCAGAGTCACAACAGAACAAAGCTGGATCCTTCTGCCCAGGGATTTGCTGCAGAATCTTCTCTGTGTCCAGTGTTTCGCTCCTCCCTCCCCTGGAAGTGGGGAGGCCAGTCCTGTGATGACAAGGAAAGTGTCTTTGGCCAGTGGACAAGTTGTCTTCATTACTCCTGTGAGGCAGTGGGGTTGAATGGGATATTTTACTGGGCCTGGCCCGAACTTGGCTGTACCTCGAGGGCCCATTAGGCTGCAGGTCACAGCAGCTGGAGCCCAGGCGCCCAGAGTCGGTCACGCGTCTGTGCTGCCCGCTCCAGGAGGCACAATGGAGTCATTGACTATTTATTTACTCCGTACAACAAGGCCGCTGTTGACTTAATTACGGGAGCCTCCCTTTCACCCTAGGGATCTTTAAATGACTAACTGGACGCTACATTGCCACTAACTCATCTCTCCTTAACTTCTTTAAAACCCGAGCGTTCCCTGCCTGGGCGTGGGCAATAGGCAGGCAGGGAATAGGAGAGCCTGCAGTGGTGACCCACCGCTTAGACTGCTGGTTTTGCTCGGGAGCCGGATAGCATTTGTCAGGAGTAAGTTTCTGAGAGCTTCAGGGCTGGGCTGAGTCAGGCGCTGGCCCCAGGGTGTGGAGGGCCACAGGGCTGCGTCAGGAGCCGAGGGCTTCACTCCACCAGGACTGCAAGAAAGGAAGCAGCAAAAGGACTCAGGCTTGTCTTCAGCTCAGACAGCCAGACCCTTGGGGGTGCAGGGTCTCTCTACTTCCGGAGCTTAGGAATGAGAGACTGGAGTGTCCCCAGGGATGAGGGCAGCTCCACGGGATCTCACCAGGCCCCCTCCTTACATTGCCGGTTTGCAAACTGTCTCCCGGCCCAGCGCGCCCGGCCTGCTACGGCTCATCCTCACTTAAACTTCCCAGCGACTCCCGGCTGCTTGCCAACTTTCTCTGGGGGCAACTTGCAAAGTCTCCGCTCTAGTTAATATTGTAGGGCCGAGGATAAAATAGCGACGGTATTGAATAGATGTTGACTTTTCCGACCCAGAGGAGTGGAAATCGGGGATTGTTTGCAGAAGCTAATCGTTTCTACTCAGAAGCTGGGGGAGCCGGGTTTGCTCGCCGCCGGCGGCCCCTCCCTGGAAGCCGGGCTTCGAGAAGTCTCGGAAATTCAGGCACCCCTCCCCAATTCGGGCCTATTTAAGAGGTCTATTAGAGATTTTAGACCGGCGGCCGCCAGGCCTGGAAGGCTCCCCTTGGCTTCTTTCGCCAGTCTTTGAGTCTGAGACCAACGGTTCGGCGCCCACCAGATCTTGAACCCAACTTCCTTCTGCGATTTATTTGGATTGGGAGGTCAGGGACCTCGGAGGAAAGTAGGCGTCTGCCACTGAGGCTCCAGACGGGCTCAGAGACTGTCCGTGGGCCCTCCTGCCCCCAGCCCCCGACTCTCGGGATTGTCCTGTTTTTAGAGATGGAGGCGGGGAGATGGGCGCCGCGACGGCAGGTCTAACGGGGTAAGGGTACCCGGGGGAAGCCCATTGGTAGGGTGCGCTTGAGGTGGAGGTGGGGGTGAGGCGCAGGTCAGGGTTTTCCTCCTAGGGAAATGACAGAAGTTGGATTAAGAGGGCCACTTTGTAGACTACCAGCTTGCTCTCCAAATCCTGGCAGCAGAGTAGATCCGTTGCTATGGTTTCGGAGCGGTATAAAAGCCACCACCCAGAACCAAACGCGCGCGAGCTCCTTCTACCTGTTGTCCACCACCCAGGGCCAGGCAAATCCCTTGGCGATTTGCATCACTCCCTAACCAAGCATCACGTTTCCAGTCGCCCCATCTGAGTAGGCAGGCGTATACGGTGGGGGAAGTCCAGGCCGGGGAGTTCATGATGTCCAAGTGTGTGTGGGCGCCCCGAATTTTCTCACCTTAGCTCCTACGGTCCAGGGGCGAGCGCTGCGCCCTGGTGGCCGCGGCGGCCCGGAGCGTGCAGGGACCGCGGGGAATAGAGCGCGGCGCCTTTAAAGCAAGAGGCGAGGAACCCCCGCCAGGAGGCGTGTCTGTCTCCGCCGCCGCCGCGGCTCCGCGGTCTTCGTCTCCGCCACCGCCGTCACTCGCGCTCGGCGCCCGCGGCTGCGCTGCTCTGTCCGGGAGCCGGGGACTTCCCGCCCGACCTCCTCCGGCTGCTCCTCCCCGAGGACCACCCCTCCCCCTCCCCGCCCACCTCACCCCCAGCGAAAGGTAAGGGCTTCCCTCGGGTGGGCTCCGCTTCGGGCCGCCTCCGGAGACGTCTGTTCCCACGAGGACAGGAGAGACCCGGGGTGGGCGAGGGGCATTTTCCGCCTGGAGAGGAAGAAGACGCGGTGGAGCTCGGTGCTCTCGGGGCACCCGCTGGACCGACTAGCTGCGAGAGGCTTTGTCCCGCTCGCCTTAGCCAATTCCCGTCAAGGATGCGACTGGTTCGGTTGGCTGCAGGCGCTCGCGTTCTCCCTATAAAATAATTTAATAAGTGGACGTGTCAGGAAGTGGCCTCAGCTACTGGGACTCACGCGAGGCGAAGAGAGACAGATGGCAAGAAGCTGTGTGTCCGCCTGCGGGTCTGACCAACTCCCCAGCCTCCCTTCCATCCGCCCATTCATCTATTAACCCTGCTCCTTAATTCCGTGCTGAGGAAGTACAGACATTCATTTTAACCGGTGCCAGCACTAAGATCCTCTGAAAAAACTCAGAGGGTGTCCCATTAGGGTGAGGGGAGTGGTGTTACCAGGGTGGATCATAAACGTCAGGAACTTTTAGTGACTCTCATCCTCTGATATTTTTACCTTCAAAGAGTTCTTTACTAAACCAGGGGACCTAGCTGAGGCACCTTAGAAAATGATTTCCAGTTTAGGGACTAGGAAAGGTTAGAAAACTTAAACTACTATCTTGATGGTAACGCATAGATTATCTTCTCTCCTTTCTTCATCTTCATGCTGTAAGTATCATGTCATCAGAAATTACCTTATGGATTGATGGTTATTTTAATTTCACAACAGATCATGATTCGTTTGAATCTTAGTTTGTAGTTTAGCTGCTGAAGATAGGCACTGATATTTCAATCTTGATTTGTGTAAGTTCATTACCTTGTAACTTTTTATATAAATCATTCCTGTAACCACCAAAGCAGCTTCCAGTGGCCCTAGGAACTTATTAAACAAAATGAATCACACAGAGTGAAGATGTTAGAGAAATAAATGATGCTAGAAATCTTACCTGTGTTCTTCTATTTAAACCCATTAAAGATTACACAGTTCTGAAATTTTTTAAAAAAGGTTCCAGGTCATGTAAATCTATCCCAATTCAATTTCTTAATTAAGATACACTTCTTTTCTCATCTAAAAATTAATTAAGCTCTAAATGTCATTAATCATCAATGCAGCAGAATGTTGGTGTAGCAGCTGAAATGTGTTCAGAATCACAAGGGATTGCATAGCATAGCACTCATAGTTAGGAAGGGTGAAGTGCAAATATGCAACAGTGTGGTTTTAACTGATATCAGTCCTGACATTATTCTCTGGCACCTCTAATGCCGTGGATGAACAGGCTGTTTATTTTAGCTTAGCCGCAATACAACAGGCCACATGCATGGAAGAATAGGTCAGGTGTTACTATAAGATGAGGTTTTTCAAATGTCACATATCAGCAGGACTTCAGTGACAAGTCAAGTGGAATTCTTAGAAAAAAATTCCATGTGAAAAACTGAAATATAGATATAACATGAAAGAACCTTTGAAAAACACCTTTGAAATTCAAGTTGTCCTGGGATATGTATTTGCTATTTCTTGCAGAAGGTAGAGGCATTGTCTTTTTAAACCTTGTGCTATAAGGATTATTACACATTTGTACATGCCCCAGCAGGTGGCAGCTAACTAGAATAAGATTCATTTTCACTGGGAGAATAGAAAACTAAAATTGCTTCTCAAGTAATAGTGCCCAAGAATAAGAGGTCATTAGTGTCAGTAAATATAAAAATAGAGTAAAAGATGAAGCTAATGACTTTTTGTTGTTGTTATTGGAACAAGCTCTGGGTGAACATGGAATGCATTTTGTTCTTTGCTAATTTATCATGGGCTTGATATCTTTCATGCCAGCCTTCTATCTGTGTAGTTTCTTTTTTCTTTTCTTTTTTAGGCTTACTTTTAGACACAGCTCCTCTGTGTATGTGTGTATATGTGTGTGCATTTGCAGTTTGTCGTCTCTGCTTTGACCTTGGAACCTACAGAGCTTTGGCTTCTGAAAGTAAAGGTTGCCATATGGTTAAAATGAGAAAAAAAGCAATCAAAACCATGGAATAAGGTGTATAAACCTCAGAATTACTAAATATATATGACTTTCTGACACCACTAGCATTTTTTTTTTCTTTTGAGGAGCAAATTACAAATTTAAAAGAAGAGTTAAATATGATCAGTAAATACTATGTAATGACTCTATCAATCCTTCATATAGACCCGAAACTATGATGTATGGTATCAGTATTGTGGAGAAACTTGTAATAACTTCAGAATTGCCATACTATAAGGCATCTTCTACACCATTAAATCATTTTGTTCTAATATTGGGGAGGTAATTTTAGGGGTTTTATTGTTGTTGTTGTTGTTTTTGCCCCGGGAGTGAGTGAAGTTTAATGAGAAGGGATGAGAATTAGTCTGATAACCCTGTAACAGATGGAAATCTGAAGGTGAAGAATTCTAAAGCGATAACTAATTATACATTTTAGAAATGTCTTTAGCCACTGAACACTGACAGAATTATTCAGTGGTCTGAATTTTGGTGGTCTCTCAGGCAGTTTTCTGTACTGAGAAACAAGTAGTTTAGTGCTCATGAGGGGACTCACAGTTAATGTAAATGAATGGCTTTTGTAGTAGTATGCCTTGGAAAGGGATGGCTATTGGCACATCCTGGGTATGCTAAGCAATCCCCATTAAGTCACACTGAAATATATACACAACACAGTTGACAAAATAGTCTTCTTGACAATGTGAACAATGTAATAATTCAAGCTCCCAGAATCTGTATAGTAGAAATATGCACATTGTCACTTCCAATGGTACATTACCCATTCAATGTACTACTTTCACTGTAGTGCTCCAAAATAAATCTACGTCTGAAGCGCTGTCCGCGGTACTGAAGAAAGGTCGTCTCTTGTCTTGCAGAAGTTCAATTGGACAGGTGGAGTTGCTGTCTGTGGTGTTGAAGTCTTTCAGATTAGCTGATGGATGTAAATGAACCTAATTTAGCATATGTGCAAAATTGGTTCTTTGGGGACCAATTAATGGTAAGAAAATTTTGCGATAGACTTTTTACTGCCTAATTTACTATGTAAGAACTTCAAGAATCTGGAAGCTTGATCTTTCAGTACAGCTAGACACCCAATAAATAATCTCACAAAACCTAAATAGTTTAGGATGCTAGTTTTAAGTAGAAAAGTTGCAACTGTAATATCAAATGCCATTATGTTAACAGAATATATGAACAAGGAGTTATGGTACATTTGTTTTCTCAAGTTCCATTAAATGCTAACTGTACTGCAAAACTGCAGTATTTTGATTAGCCACATCAGAACATGCTATTTTTAGGTAGAAGATATCAATTATGTTGAAATAAATAATAAGAATTTTTTTTTGCCCTGGCAATCATTATTATCTCTCCTCGGATCAAACAGAAGAAAAGGACAAATAGAGTGGAATAAATGAGACAGCAAATACAAGACAGGGCATGTTGGGCTGCACACGCTTTACAAGAGATATTTTAAACATGGACTGAAGGAGTCGCTAGATACCCTTGGTTTTAGCACAAGGTGTTCCCTTTAAAGTGCTCAAATAGTCAGATTATTTGATTGAATTGCCTGCTACACTGCAGAACTAGCCATTCATGATACTTATTTTTGACACTGCAGATATGCCTCCATTTAAAATAAAAAATCAATGCCCACCTAATGCCTTTGCAGAATGTAGGTTTATTTTCAAATCAGCATTTTAAACTATCTTAAGAAAAATAGATTTAAAACAAATTTAAGAAATCTTGCTATCTAGAAGAAATACTTCTCATATCACTCATTTAAAAATGAGGTATTCTTCAAATATGATATGATGTTATAACTTTTCCTAAGGGTTAACATATGTCCTCTTAGTTGGTTATGAAAAAGACATTACTTTTAAGGTACAGTTTCAGCAATTTGCCTTTTGGGCTTCCTATCACTTAAAAATATTAATATATAGTAATATATTTATCACTGTCCAATTTATTTTCACTTACTAATGTGACTATTATGGTTGGATATTTTACCTATATGCATAGAGGACAGCTAAAATACAAAAGAAAATATAATTATGTACTTTTTTTCTTGAATAAATTGTGAAAGCCAAGACAGTCACTGTCTGGGGACGCTGATTATTTTTATCAGAACACTAGAAAATAATAAGGCATTTTTAGACAAAACCATGACACTCAATACCGCTTAAGCTACAATTCCATACTTCATGTCTTCAAGAAAAAGATATTCAGAAAATCAAAGTGAGAAGAAATTTGGGCATAAATTATTGAATCCTTTGGAGTTTGCTGCACCATTTCAAATATCATTTTATTTTAATATATTCACAATTATTTTAAGATAAGGTAAAACATGGGTGGGGAAATATGATTCCTTCATTTTATTTCAACATTTCCTCCCTAAAAGTCCACTTGCAGAAATGTATTTTTATTGCTGGGTAGTAATCAAAGAACGTCTCACTCAAGTTTTTAAAGACTATCTTTACCTCTCCAATAGCATTTCAATCTATATTAATGCCTAGACAAAATTCTAAAAGTATAAAAAGACCCTCCTTTAGCCTAAAAATAAGTTACATTTGCAGTAAATTTCTCTGTTTTAGACCACTTCTTTATTTACAACTCCTGGACAAAGTGACTTTGACTTAGGTTGTCATTTATTAAAATTCATCAGTTGATGGAGGAAGTCCACTTGCATGCCTCAGTCACTATCTTAGTAAAGACTTTTACTGGAAATAAAAGCACTTTTTTTCTCCACGCAAACAAATCCAACTTCCTCCTTGCAACTCAAGGTGGGCGACCAGACTGGTTGCATAATAGATATTGGGAAGCTCACTGGCAGGAAGCCTTAAGAGGCAAGCAGCTATCTCAATTTTTCTCACTTAATCTTGGCTTCACGTCAGAAGCTGTGCAGCAGTGCCGTAGAATAGGGCCTGGCGAAACCTTTGCGAGCAAAGCGCCTTTTGTGTTGGGACTGTGGATCGCTCCCGGCGCCTCTGCGGTTTCCAAGGCTGGATTTCCTATTGATTTTCCTCCTCCTCTGCTTCCCCAGGCTCGCGCGACCGGACATTGTGGGTGTGCGTGCTGGCTTTCTCCCGGATGCTCCCCGACTAACATGGATGTCCCACCATCCCTTGCAGTGGAAGGTTGCTCCTTGGCGCAGTGAGTGAAGAACATGCAGCGATTGCTAATGGGTTTGGGAAGCGGAGACTCCTTCCTCTCTCTGTGACCATGCCGTGATCGTGTCTGCGGCCACCACTCGACGCATCCTCATTCCTACCCAAACCGGGAGCCTAACGCTAGATCGGGGAAGTGGGTGCCGCGCGTGTGGACACAGAAACACCATGAAGATTATTTCCCCGGTTCTAAGTAATCCAGTCTTCAGGCGCACCATTAAACTCCTGCTCTGCTTACTGTGGATTGGATATTCTCAAGGAACCACACATGTATTAAGATTTGGTAAGATTCCCCATCCCTCTCCATCGCCTGCTATCCGGCTCAGAGGCAGCCGGATGTAAACAGGCGTGTGGGCTCCTCTGCTAGGCGGGTGGGCTCGGTACATTTCGACCTGTTCCCTGCTCCGATGCTTCCCGGGGTTTGAAAGGACCCAATTGTGCTTTTCATTTCATTTATTTCCCCTTTTTATATATTAAAAAAAAAAGCCGCGGGAGGATGAAGCGAGTGCCAGTGTGTGGTAGTGGTCGCTGCGTTACCTCCCCACGGCAGCCAGTGTCAGAGTCGGTAATGACGCTGGGGTACTGCCAACACCGCTGCTCCCGCTCGTCTCCCCGGGAGCCTCCGGGCTTGGCTCGCAGCTCCTTCCCCAAGAACGTGCGCGGCTGGGGCTACACGCCTCTGATTGCCCGGCTGATGAGTTAATATCTGGTAACTCTTTGGCAAGTTGGCGCCTGTCCGCTTCCGCGTGGGACCCGGACAGGTCCGCAAGTGAAGGGCGCTAATCTTTTTGATTTGTCATCAGAGAGAGCCTTTTCGGTTAATCTCTCCATTTTCTCAGTGCCTGGTGCCTTTATGGATACGTGGAGCTTTAAAAAATACTGTTGTAAGGTTGAAGGTACTTAACACCGGGAGGCTGCTGTTTGAGTGAAATAGCGTCAGAAGGAAGGGTTTCTGTCTGTTTTTAACTTGAGTCCTCTCACAGCTTGCTCGCCGTGCCTCCCAGACTAATACATGATGAGCAGTGATGATAGAGGCCAAGGGAGTCTGTGTATGGGAGCCTACGTCTGAGCCTTTGTTTCACTTGTAGCATGACTTAAAAAAAAAAAAGCTGAAATGGCCATTACATATTAGGGGAATCCATTGTTTTTCCTAAGGAATCAGGTTTCTTTAGGGCTTCAAGGAAAATCTAAACATGAGACTCCAGTGGGAAGGTTGGCCAGAAGATTTATTTGGAGGAAATGAAGCGTGGGCAACACTCAGCCTCTCTCCACTGGCGTATGGAGTTTCAGCAGGAGAACTAGTCAGGAAAAGTTTCCTTAAGTAGATAAGAGCCAGAGAAGAGAAAGCCAGTGGGGTAAAGGCTCCCACTGTGGGCGCCTCCTTTGACAATTCAAGTGGATTTAGACCAAAGAGTGCAAGAAACCATATAATCCTGAGTATGTGTCTTTGAGATAAAAGCAGATACATTAAGTCACTCAAATTTAAATCAAAGAGTGATTGCCTGCATTTCCCATTATGTCAGCAGCATCTTCTCTCTTGTATGTTTCTCATTTGCTTTTTCTATAATGATAAAATTTATCATCTCTCTGGGGCTTTGTGGAACCTGGGTAGGAATGCTTTCACATAGGAGAAAGGGAACCCTTCCTTCCCTCCCCCACCAATACATAGACACACCTGGAGCCCACAGGACTGGTAATGAGAAAAGACAATAAGTGGATTCCTACTGTTGTAGTTTTCCTGCTTTCTGCATGCCTTTAGATGGTACTTAAGCACGTTGCTCTTAGCAACAAGAGTCCACAGGAATGCTTGTTTCTTTGGATGAAATTAAATGGGTCCCTGTATCATTGGAAACGTGTGTGTGTGTTCAGTTGCTCTGCTTCAAGCATTGTAAGTGCCACAGTTTGGTAGTTTTGCCCAATATTTTGAGTAGTACAACCTACTTATTTGGAATACCGAGGTGTCTTCAGAACTGTTTGTGAATGAGTGTCTTAGTGTGTTTGAGGACTAGGGGGGGAAAAGAAGAAAGCTGGGAGGCGGAAAACGGCCACCAATACTCTAAAGATTTAATTATTGCTGCTCTGGTCTTGCAGCATAATATTTGCTGAATCATTAGATTGTTACATTCGCTGATCATTTCATATCTTCATATTAAAAATCCTGGCGACTGTAGCAGACTGTGTAGCAGCTTTCTAAAAGAGCTGACACACACACAAAATACATTTTCCTAGACCAGTGCTTACTAAGAATGTTCTAAGAAATAGGGGAGTAGGAAAACACCTTCCCACCTGTGCCTTGCTACCTTAAACCAACTGTCCAGTTTCTAGATAACCTGTTATTTTCTCCATTAACTTCAAACATCTTCCATGCGGAGATCCACTTTCTCTGGTTTGTGACTCGAGTTGAGTGGTGAAGGATTGTGTACATTATAACCATTGGAACATTTCCCTGATGTAGATATTTTGATGCAATGGCGGGAGTTTTATTTTCTTCTGGGAAGAACATGTTCTGAATGAAGTGGAGGTTGCTTGCGCGCGTATGAGCCACTCTTGAGAAATGTTATTTTCAACTTCAGCTGAAAAGGCGAACCAGAGCCTCACCGCTGGCCCGGAGCCTTGGAAGGGAAGGGGGCTGACTTGCTAGTGAAGCAGCTGCCTCTGGGACGCGGATGAGGAGGTGGCCTCCAGCTCCTTCTCCCTCTGACCCTGGAGTGGCCTCTGCCAGCCGCTCGGCGCCTCCGCAGCGGCACTATAGCAACCGCGGGCTCGGTTCGGCTACCGCCCCATCCTCAGCCCCCTTTCCCGTAGGTGGTAGAAAACCACCTTTGCGGGCTCTAAGCAGCCCTTTCCCGGTTTTCCCCGTTCCCATTCTGACGGCGACTTGACCCTGAGTCCTCCTACCAGCGGGTGTGGATAGGGGAGCAGCTTAGGGTGCTGACTGCTACTTGCCGAGTCCCTCGCTACCCCCGCCCATCTTCTGGATGGATGATCAGTCTCTCTCGCTGTCTCTCTCACAAACACGCGCGCGCGCGCGCCGACAAATGCACTCTCGGGAAGCACGGCCACCACTCTGGCACAACGACTCCTTTTTGGTTCCCAGCAAAACTTTCAGCAGTCGCGTGCGCCAGCGCCTGTATCCTGGAGCCCCCTCCCCGCCCCCGACTGACCTGGGGCTGCACACCCGGGCCTAATACTCCGAAGGTGCTTCGCAAACACCTCCGGGAGACCGCCTCCCAAGCGCCGACTCCAGGGAGCTTTCCCCAAGCTTTCGGGCAGCCCGGGGCGATGGGGGAGCGACCTGAGGGTCAGCCTAGGCTCAGCTCCTCGCCCGCGGGCGGGCCGGCGCCGCGCCTAGGGTGGGTCGTGGCAGATTCTCCTCCCTCGATCTCGGCTTGGCCCAGCCTGCCTTCTCCAGGGCGACCACCCAGCGGGAGCGGGCACACGGTGGAGCTTGGACAGTTAGAGGGTTAGTTTCCCCGCCCCAGGTTAGGCCGAACGTCCAGGGGTCGGCGTTTGCTAGCGCGGAACTGCCACGCCCCCGCGGGCCAGCTCTGCTGCGCTCCGGCCCGCAGCCCGCGGCGGTGGCGCGCAGAGTCAATGAGGCACCTTTGTCTCCCCGCAGCTGCGGCCCGGCCCAGCCGGCGGCTGGAGGGGCGCAGGCGGCATCCTTCCGTCCCCGGGGGCGTGGGCCCCACTGCCTCATTCTCCCAACGTGACGGTGGCTCGGAGGTACTTGAACGCTTCTTTTGTTACTTTCGCCACCCTCTCTTCCGGGTCCGCTCGACCTCTGCTCCCCGGAAAGCAAGGGGAGGAGGAGAAGCCAGCTCGGGAGCGGGCTCCGCGCAGAGCTAGCCGTCCGGCCCGGAGTTTGGGGGGAAGGGAGCTTTGGTATCTTCTTTAAGGAATCGGTCCCCAAACCAGCACTTGTTTAGGATCTTTGAAGTCGAGTTGATCACATTTCTTATCTGAAATGGCATTTCGAATGCCAAGAACGAAGACGTGAACCCAAACTTTCTCCCAAACTCCTGGGCAGCTTCTCCAAGAGAAGAGCTGAGCTGGTTTGTGGTAGGCCACTAATTCCCTTCAGATGTCGACCTAGCTTTTCTGTTGGGCGTGCCAGTAGGGCGGCTTTCTTAAAAGCCTTTCCCAGGCGAGGTCTTCCCAGGACGCGCTCGGACCTCTTGGCACCGTGTGCTGTTGGCCCTGCGTCCGTGCACACGCGTCGCCTCCTCCTCGTGCCCAGGCCGAAGGTGAAGGCCGCCAGCTCAGGGCCAGCCCAGGTTATGAAGGCCACAGGGCGAGAGGGGACGGAATGGGTTCCTACGGAATCCCCCTACTAAGTGGCTAGTTCATGTGCTCCAAGATAGAATAATTAGCAGCAGATGTACTACATCACAGAAGAGTGTGAGCGAATTGGCTGGGCTTGGAAGCTGCCACTCTCTACAAGTTCTTTGAAAGAGATTTTTCTTCCTTTGGGAGGTGAGCTGGGCGGGAGGGAGGAGTGGCCTGACATCTGGAAGCAGGAAAACTGGCTCTTGGGAGGCGGGGATGGGGGAGTACCGGCGGCTACTGAGTGAAACTGATAAAGCCCCAACACCTGCTCAGTTGAGCTCTGGAAAGCAGGGGAGGGGAATCTTTCCAAGAATCGCCAACACCACTGCCGCACTAAAAAGAAATAAAAAAATCTGTTTTTGACATAAGTTCCCACTTATTCTTAAAGCTTCAAAGAATAGCTCTGATGTAATCCATCAACGGAGGCACACTCATTTCAGAAAATGACGTTGAAAAATGATCTTTCCGTCCTCTAGAAATAGCACCCCTTCTCCACCCAGACACATGGAACTCAACTCGTTTTCTGGCGTTGTGAGGTTGTCTTTATGCAGTGAACAGGGGCTTGTATGTCAGTAGACATGTCTCCAGGCAGACCACCTTTTGCTTTTTAACTTAAGTCAGGTGATCATTGCAGTGTGTTCATTCCCTGAATTCTCAAATGACACTGTTTCAACATTTACTCAGCACAGGGAAGTTAATGCTCCCACACAGAGGAGGAGCGTAACATAGACCAAACATGGGCTGCATCATTGATTATCAGGGCCTTTTCAAGTCTATTCACCTTTAAATAAAGGGTTGCCTATGATAATGATGACATAATCTTTGATTTTCTTTTAATTTTTAAAATTTCTGATAAAGAAGATGCCTTATTCTTTTGTGGTGGAAGGTTAAGTGAGAGAAATTTATTTTCTTTCTGTTCTTAGGATTTTACTGTGTTATTGTAGTTCCAGTTCCATTTATTCCCTGGAAATTATTGATGTCCATTTTGACATATCAGAATAGAAAGTAGTTTACTGTCTTTCAACTGTATTATCCTTATGTCACTGCATCATTAATCTGCATTAAATCATTAATCTACTGCATCCATAATACCTGGGGTTTGTGGGAGATCCTCGGTTTTCCTTTGTAGGATGGTCTGAAATATTGAAATGGAATTGTTGCTTTGCATTTGGGTGGTGAATCTTTATCTTCTATGGGTTTTCAATTTGTAATCCAGTTCTCAAGGTACTAGAATTGCTTCAAATGAAACTTAAACCCTAAATCTTAGCATGAAAGGTAAGGTCAAAAGCCCTTGAAAGGGAAGGAAGTAGGTGCTCATCATCCTTATTGACTGGTCTAGATTAAACACTGAAGAGGAAGATTTCAGTCCGATAACGTCATAAGGCTTCCTGTTTTTCCTTGCTGCTTCTGCTGACAATTTTGTAAGGTAATTAAATTGGCTGATTGAAGTCAGGGGTGGTCATGGGGTGATAAAGACCATTTGGATTTAATGGAATTTAAAACAACAGAGCCCTGAACACAACTCTTACCGAACAAGAATTTTAATGGCCCATTCTGGGTGCTGACTAAATAGAACGCCCTTAACAAGTTTAATCGAAAGGGCAAGGCAGATTAGCTCTATATAGTCTTTATGGTTGAAGATTGTGGAGTTAAAATTATACCTTTAAAAGACTCATTAATGCATTTTCAAGATTTAATGTAGGTTAAATAAGCTTTCTTCAGACCTTCACCATATACTGTGAACCTAGGTTTAGGACCAAGTTTTAATAAGGAAATACCTTTAAGAGCTCACTTCATAAATGGAACTATATGTGTTTTTTATTTCAAAAATAAAAGACATTTAAAATTCTTTGAGAGGATCCAGGGTGTTGAGGGTAAGTGTTGATGATGAGTCTTTTCTTTTCACTAACTGAAAAGAACAAATTTGACTTTTCTTTAAACTTTTGTTTTTGTTTTTTTTTCTTATTAACAGAACTTATCTGTACTAGAGAAGATAGTAATTTTGTAGAAGTTATTTGTATTTTGTACATGCAAAAATAATTTAAAAAAAGGTTCCTCTGCAGTTTCAGTGGAGTCCTGGATACTTGACCTTGGTTTTATGCTATCTTTTTAATCCTTCCCTTGTTTTTCTTAATGAAACGTCTCTGTTCAGGTTACCATACTTTAGTGCATTCAGGTTCTTTCTGCCCCCGAAAAGGACAGTTCTTTGGTTTACATTGAGAACACGTTTAGTGACAGTCCCATGGTGAAAGTCAAGCCTCAGTCTCTTATGAGATTGTCCCTTCCAACTGCTTCTTGCCTTGTGAAATTGTCTTCCCAAAGTTGCCTGTTCCTTTGATTATTCCAGAAAAACCTGAAACCCAAGTTTTTACTTAAAAATCTCCCCAATTTAGATTGTACATATTTTAAAAAAATTGTTGACCAAACCGAAAGCACTCAGCTAGATGGGAGGTGGACTCAAAGTCACCAGTTTTCACCCTCCTGCCTACCCCACATTCCCATTCATTCATCCCTGGCTTACTGGCTTATTTGTCTCCTGCCTCACACCTTTAGAGCCGAACATTTTATATTGCTGTATTTTCAAAGTGACAATTAGCTTATCAGATAAAACTAATATGGTAAAACTGAGTGGGAGGTTAGAGAAGACCCTTAAAATTTTTCTGCAGGATTTTTCATTTTCCATTTTATTTTTCTATTTGGGCTTTGAGTCTCTTCTCCATTTACCACAACATTCAAATATAGCATTTCCCTATTGATTGATTTGAGCCCTTCATTTTCTTAATTAAAACTAAACATTCTTTTAATAGCGACAGGTTACTGGACAGCAGAGCTATGTGTAAAAGGATCTGGGGAGGTTGTGGCTTTCAGATATCTTCCCCACTGATACATGTAATTCTATCTACCAGTCTTTCTTTTTGGTTTAACATTTGCCCTCTCCCATGGCCTTGTTTTAAGATAAGTATATTCTGGATGGGAGAGCACATGGTCCCTAGACTGTAAAGTTAGGATGAGTTTATTAGATCAATCGATTCTGTCTGTGGCAGAGATGCTCCGATACAAAAGAAAATTCCAGGTGCCTAAGGGAGTGCTGAGTAATTAGCACTGATGTGAAGGGGAGGCTGAAAAAAGAGGGAAGTCAAATACTGTCTGATACACAGTCATTTTTAGATTAATGCCACACATCTCAGTGCATTGTAAATTGATCGTTTTGCTGGTATTAGTCCAAATCTTTGAGCATATGTGACGGTTTTAAATAAGATGTCAATGATATTCTTATATTGGCATATCTCCTCCCAGTGAAAAGGATCTTTAAATGCTTTTCACACCCTTTAAAATCAACAAGGCACTTTACCATCATTGAGCTAAAGCGAGTGTTTGGAAGGTGTTGCCTCTAATTCCCATTTCTGTTTACAGCTTTGCCTCACTCTGAGTCCTCGACCTATTACAATGGAAATATTTCTCAGCTGAAGTGATCAAATAAGCAAAGCAGATATTAAAGAAAAGTTCTGCTTCAGTGTCACCATAGGCATTTGGTTTATTTTATATGGTCTTTTATATCCTGCTTATCTTTTTAGCAACAAATGCTTCTGTATTGTTTATTATACCTTTTAGTGCATTCAGGCCCCTCTTTGTCCAGAAGAAATGAAATGAAAACTCTCTCAAGATGAAGGAAAACTATAGAATCGTGTAATATCCGAGCCAAAGGGGTTTTTAGAGATCAGGTCTGGTATCCAAGGTTTAGACATGAGTTGCCAAGGGCAATGAAATCGCTTGTTCTGGTCACAGCTAGTTAATGTCAGATTCTAGACCAAAACATGAATACCCTGACTGCCGGATGAGTAATGTTTTTCAGTGAATTATGTTATGTTTCTAGGGTAGCCTCTGACTCTCTTTGCTTTGTATCAGTTTTAGGAAGAGTTACTGGTTCCTGTCACTTCCCCAAGACATTTGCCTGCTTTATTTCTTCTGCCTTTTCTTTCAAAGAACAGTATCCCATGAGTTATCCATTTTCTTTATCTCTTTCTGTAGCTCCTTCCATCCCCTTCTCCCATACCTGCCAAAGTCGAAGTCGTCTTCTTCCTTGTCCAGAACTTTCACCCCACCATTTATTTAGCAAATAATAATTGAGTACATATGATATACCAGGCAAATATCAATAGAATTCTAAGATCCAGATTCTGACCTCAAAGATTTTGTAATCCCATTAAAGAGAAAAGACATATATATATTAAAGTGCCATTTGAGTGATACAGAAAATATATACAACAGTTGTTTAAAGGAGATTTCTATAGGTTTGTATTTTTAAAGGAGAGATGAGATGCTGGCTGAGACCTGTTAAAGAAAAAAAAATTGTGATATGGAAGAAGAGAGGGGAATGTATCATTGGCAGAAGACTCAGAACAAGAAAGGAATTTAGGCAGAAGTTAAGAAGGTGAGCTTTGGGACAAGGAATAGACTGGCCCTGTCAGAGGATAGATAAGGCCTTGCTTTTTCAGAGTTTTACTATTTAGGTTACAGGG